GCCCAGAGTCCAGGCCCCACAACTAACACACATATTCAAAAAAAGACATTGAGTTTCAAACTCCCTTTACCTGTAAACTCTCAGAGCATGGGAATGATATCTTGTTCACCATGACATTAACTAAAAGTCCTGGGTCTCAGTACATAAATGTCAAGTGAATGAAAAAAGAAATGAATGGTAGACAACAAAATGCTACAGATAACACTTTCCTAAGGTTAATGGCATTTTATTACCTCCTTTACATCCATGTCTGTTCCATTTCTTCTTTTCTCTCCTACCTTTTACTTCTTCCTTTCTCTCTTTTGAAACCTGTCCTAAGGTTTCAGGAATTGTCACCTGCTGTTATTATTGGCAATTGTTTTGCTAAGCAGGCCACACTGGTGTTAGTAGTGGCAATGGTGACTTTGCAGTTTTCTAGTTTAAAAGCACCACCTAGTGGTTATAGCTGTCATTGTCCCAAAGGTACCAGGAACACCGAGTTAAAAACTACACGAATTCCAGTTCGGTGTGCCAGCTCTGTCCTAAGACAGCATCACATACACTGACCCATATCCTTTGGAATCTACTACAAAGTTACCAATGCTGGTGATCCACAATGATTGCTATGGAGTTGATTTGGTTTCTTACCCTAAGTAGATGAATTGTGTTATTTCCCTTCAGGGAGAATAAGGATCTTCTCCTATGTGCCGCTTAAATTCTATAGAACAACTACCTGACTCTGCTTTCCTCTACTTGCTTCCTAACTTTACTACTTCATAATCTAACAAGACTAAGTTGCAAAAAAAAAAAAAAGATTGAGTTGCATGTGCTCTATTGTCCCAAAATCAAAAACCAGGGCCCCATATTAAAAGAAAGAGGCAGTGATGACCAAAGAACTAACAATTAGGTCTAGATACTGCCCCCAATGTATGCAAAAAAATTAAATCACTGGATCAGTCAGACAACTACCCTAGAGAGAAAACCAAAGTTAAACAAGAGATAACTTGGGAGTCTGACCCTATGGTATTAGCACCATTAATTAAACAGGTACTTCAAGAGAATTAGTCATGCAGATTGAAAGGTGGATCTATGGGAAGGACATACTGGCTGCTCCATCCCAAGATAGCTGCTTGCTGAGCTGCAGAAGTTGAAAGCACTTGAATACAGAGTTATGTGGAGCTCATTGTGTGAAGATCACTGAAAGCAGATGATTTGCTACAAAGCCACAGTATGGAGCTTGCCTGGCAGGAAAGTGACTGAGGTCCTTAGTAGACTCAAAGGACTACATCAGTTTCAGTGCTCCCAAGTAGAGAAAAAATATATATACTCAAAAGGAGGATGGCCGAATGAAGTGGTACACTCCTGTAATTCCAGAAATCAGAAAGTGGAAACAGGAGGGTTATATATCTGAAACCAGCCTGGGATATACAACAAGAAAAAAAGCAATCAACAAATAAGCAAATAAGGGATAGAAGCAGTCTGATCCTACTATACCTCAGACATCTAACAAATTCCATGTGTTCTTTTTCCAGAGGAGAAGAGGGAGAAAGGGAAGAGGAAAAGGAGGAGTAGATGGAGACGCAGGTGAGCCAAGGTTACCCTCCCTCTGTAGAGGTTCTCACTGATGGAAATAGTCAGGATGAAGCTGGATGCTACTTTAAAGAAATAGTCATGCTGCAGGGGTCACCAGTATGCAGGAGTACTAGAGGAAGGCTTTGGAATGCCTCCTTCAGCAACACCCAGAAAACCTCGTTCACCTATTCCTTCTCTGTGGGTCTTGAAAGGAGAGAAGGAACATCCTATCTTTCTATTGTATTTTGATTATCCTTAAGTAGTTGTTCGTAGGGGTTACCATTCAACAAATCAGTTTATAAGTACAATGCACCTTGATTGACACCACCCCTTTCATCTTTCTCCCCATCCCTCCCAACCCAACTCCCCTAAAATGGAACACGGTACCTTAAAGTTAAAGCACAGCAACTAGAGTCACAGACATGGCCTATACCAAGAGGATATAATTTCTATTTTTATGCTGGTCTAAAATGCTTCAATAACAAAATATACAAATGTATACATACAAATATACACAGTAAGTTATGAAATAACATCTCTGCTTTCATTGAAAGATGCCAATGGTGCTGGACAACGTAGCTCACACCTTTAATCCTAGCTACTCAGAAGGCTTGAGATCTGGAGGATTTGAAGTCAGTATGGGGGGAAAAAAAAGTCCATGAGACACCATCTCCAAATTAGCCAGCAAAAAATCAGGGCTAGAGATGTGACTCAAGCACTAGCCAAGCAAGTAGGTCAAGCAAATACAGAGTCCTGAATTCAAACCCTGACATGAGAGGAGATACTAGAGGAAAGTCTAATATAGACTAGAAATTTGGAGAGAGAATACTTGTTTATACTTGTTTAATAAATTGGTCATAGTTAAAAAAAAATTACAAGGTACTCAAAGTACATAGTGCTCTTCTGAGGACATTGATTTCCCAAATCTGGAGTAATGTTTAGGAATCTATTGGATGTTCTGTTTCCTTTTTGTGTTTGTTTATGTTTGGTTTAAAAAAATATATTCTAAGTGTTTCTTAACACAGTGTTCCAAAAGAAACGTTCCAACTGCTAAGTGTAGCAGATCTGCTCAAAGAGATGGTTCTTCTTCCATTGTGTTCATCAGCTCTCCATGACTGTAAGAAATACCTGAGATAATTAACTTATAAAGACAGAAGGTTATTCTAGCTGACATTTTTAGAGGTTTCAGTCCACAGCTGGTTGACTCCATTGCTTTGGGCCTGTGGTAAAACACGCAAATCATGGCATAGAGTGTAGAGAAGAGCAAACCTATTCATCTGAAGGCCAGGATGCAAATGACAGAAGAGGAAGAGATCTGGGAAACTGGGTAGGCTGATAGTAACCTGGAACCTGTCACTAAGCTGTCTTAGGAAAGTAACATAAATTAAGAAGTTGTTTTATACATCCAAAGCTAATAGCTAAACATTTTTCTCTTATGATACTCTACCTTCGCTTTAAAAAAACAAAATATTCCTTTGTAAGCACCATAGTACCATATACCAAAAAATAAAAGTGAATAAATGTTCATATGTCATAATTCCATCAGTTTAGTTTTCAGTTACAATAAATGGCCTCCCTTTACTCATCTCCTGTGAAAAGAAGAGAAAAGAAAACCCTTTTATATTCTAAAACATGGCAGGGACTATTTTTCAAATAACCCAAAAGACTCAAGTTATTGACTTGCCGGCTCAATTATAGATGCTGGGTGATCTCCTTACTAGATTTCTGCAACTCCATTCCAGCAATGGGGATCTAGCAAATGACTAATGAATAAAGTCTACAGAGCCTCATGTACTATAAAGTACATGGGGATAGCTTATTCCCTAATGCTGTGGAAGAACTAAGAAACTTTTGGAATGGTTAAACACACTCTGTATGAATGTACACAACCTCTTAGAGACATCAGCCCTAGGAGTTCCATCTTCCTCTTCCTGCAGTCTGTCCTGATACTGTCTTTTCCATTTTTTTATGGAGCTTGGAATGGAACGCTTATCCACTTCCTGAGGCCAAAAACCAAGACTCTGATTTTTGTTTCACACAACATAACCAATCCATTAGGAAACCCATCGGTTGGACCTCTAAAATATGTACAAAATGTAATCATTCCTCATTTTGTAAGGTCACCATCATCTGTTTCCTAATTACCTTAAAAGCTTCCTAACAATTCTCCCTACTTTATTCTTAACCCCTTATGGTCTATACTCAGCATCAAGAATAAATGTCATTGCTCTGGGGTCACTCCCATTGATGCCTACTCTGACAACCCTAATTCTGTATCTGCTCTCCTCCCTACTCCACATTTTCCTTGCCCTACTTTTTCCTCTCCTTATGGTAACTTTAGTTTTTAACATGAAACTTCTGTTTGATGCCTCTCTGTGAGCTCCCTGTCAGATGCACAGGGAAAGATCTTTGTTGTTTAATTCACTGTTGCAACCTCAGTGGTGTAACACAAAGAAGAGGCACTAAGTATTTGTGAATGAATGGATGGATAAATCTTCATACAAGAGGTAGAGCAAAGAGATATTAGTTTGTCTAAGATCACACATCCACCCAAAACATGGAAAACCTGGTCAAGAACTTTTGGATCCAGCACCAAGGTCCTCCATATCAGTGATCAAAAGAAAGAAAATCCTCAGTAGACATTCAAGCACAAATTTTTCTTCCTTGTATTTCTAATAATAACAAAAGTACATCTCTTTGTACAAATCTAGAGGGGAAAATGTTTATGCAAATATATCAGATAGTAAAATAAGATGGCATCTAACAAGAGCCATCAGATAGAAATTTTCAGCAACATGAGAAACTTCTTGGAACCTATCTATGGAATGGGAAGCAGGCTGCTGAGAACCTCCTATTTGAACTCTGACTTCTTGGTAGACATATATAGCTTCCTCTATTTTAAATTGGTAAGGCATTTCTGAGGTATGTGATACTCAGCCTTACCCAGAATTTTCTAATCTCTCATTCAAAGAATTACTTTTATTATTTATTTATTTATTTATTTTTTGTTGGTCGTGGGGCCTGAATTCTGGGCCTGGGCACTGTCCCTCAGCTCTTCAGCTCAAGGCTAGTGCTTTACCACTTGAGCCACAGCACCACTTCCAGCTTTTTCTGCTTATGTGGTGCTGAGGAATAGAACCCAGGGCCTCATGCATGCAAGGCAAGCACTCTACCACTGAACCACCTTCACAGCTCCAAAGAATTACTTTTAAAAGTCTTATGTATTTTAAACCAGACTATTGAAAAAGGTTTTGGCTACTTCCTCTATTGCTATTTAAATGTCTAAATTACACATTCTCTTTAAATAAAAGCTTAGAAGAAAAAAGTTTCAGGCTCTAGAAGGAAATATTACTTTTTCTTTTTTTGGCAGTAAGTAAGGAAAAAATCGTCTTACACGTTATAAGTTAAACAATCCTAACCAAGAGCCAAAACTCCTGTTGGAAGAGTATGTAATTTTGTATATATTCTGTCTTATGTAAGAATGATGCATGCTGCCCCCAACGTCAAGAAGAGAGCCTTTTATGTGACTTTGGCAGAAGGTCTGGTGGACAGGCCTAAAGCTGTGGCCAGCAGGACTCTGGGCTTATTTTCTTTCACACTCACTTACATGATGTCATTTCCCTCCAGCAAAGATGACAGAAACCAATAAAGCTAGAGGAATCAGCTCTGAAACAAAACAAAAAACAGAAGCTATTGTCAACATAGGGGGGAAGCAAGCAGTAAGGAGTCTCTTTCCTTCCCTTCCCTCAAAAAATCATTCAGAACTTTTCCTTTCTAGAAATGCTATAACTTAATCATTTACTAATTCAGCTCAAACCTACCCAAGAAGCCATAGTCAGATATTGCAGTAAACAATGGTTGCTGTTACCTCTCCAACACCTAATCTTGCTTCCTCTAGGAAATATCTCCCATTTGGAAATATGCCCATTCCAACACATTCCCAGATCATGTGTATTGGGAGAAATGGATTCCCCAAAATAGAGGTCATGAGCCTGGTCTCACAGGATTTATGGCAACAAATCTGCATAGCCATGATAGATACATGACCCTATCTAGTCTGACCAGAATGAATCCCACTACAAAGAGTAATGAATATATATATATATATATATATATACACACATAAATGTATATAGCAAACTACATATTATGATACATATTTTATTTTATCTCCTTTTCATTTTACTTTGTCTCTTATGCCTGATACATAGCACCTAAGCTCCCTAGAATCTACATAATGATGTAGTGAGCTGAGGAGTGGCTGAACCCTGCACAGCTTCAGAATGGGACCAGTCTGCAGAGAGGAAGGCGGGGCTGACATTCAATAGATCATCAATGACGAATGTATTCTAATCATGTCTATGTAATGAAGTTTCCATAAAAACCCAGAAAGACTGGGTTTCAGGAGCTTTGGGGTTGCTGAACATGTGGAGGTACCTGGAGGCATGGAGAAGGCATGAAAACTGCACTCCTATTCATGCCTTTCCCACGCATATCTTTCTATTTGCATTCTTGCAATTTTCCACTGTAAAATTATAGGTAAGCTTATGTGCTTTTTGAGTATTGTAAGTCCACTTAGCAAATTAATTAAACTCAAGGAGCAGTCATGGGAACCCCAATTTATAGCAAGCTTGGAAGAACATAGGTTACTATCCATACTTGTAACTGATATTTTTAATGGTAGGAGAGCTGATCCTCAGCAACACACACACACACACATACACACACAATCAAAGTTGAAATTACAATCAACTGAAATTATACTCAATTTTTTGGTTTGTGATTGAAAAACTGAAATTATAGTTGATGTCTTAGAAGTCAGTATATAAAAATCTCAAAAAAAATAGAATTAGTAAAGCCAGGTGCCAATGGCTCCCTTCTATTTGGGTCCTGGTAGCTGATACTTTTAATCCTAGCTACGCAGGAGGCTGAGATCTGAGGATTGCAGTTTGAAGCCAACCCAGGTAAGAAAGTCTGTGAGACTCTTAACTCCAAATAACCACCAGAAAATCAGAAGTGAAGCTGGGGCTCAAAGTGGTAGAGTGTTAGCCTTGAATAAAAAAACTCAGGGACAGGACTCAGGCCCAGAGTTTAAGCCCCATGACCAACCAAAAAAAAAAAAGATTGGGCGGATGAAGGTTTGAGACTAGCCTGGGTAGAAAAGCCCTTGAGACTCCTTCTCCATGGTTGGAAATGGGTTATACACCAGTCCTCTCCCAAGCTATGAGAGAGGCTAAGATTGGAAGGATGGTGATATCAGGCCAGCCAGGCAGAAAAATCCACAAAACTCCATCTCCACAAAGAGAAGCTGGACACAATGTTATGCCTGTGATCCCAGTAACAGCAGAAAGCCTAAAAGTAGATAAATCACAGGTCAGGCACATACCAATGGGGAAAGCAAGATCCTTTCCTGAAAATAGCGAGGGCTGGATATATGGATCAGCAGTAGAGTGCCAGCCAAGCAAGCAGCAGACCCTGAGTTTAAACACTAGGACTACAATAAAAAAAGAAACTGAATCATTATAAGGTTAAGCTAACACATACATCTGGTAACACTATTTTTATCAACGGATTCATAAATAACTATATTTTATTTAGATCTATTTAAAGGTACTTACATTTACTGACTCATTAACATTGAACTCACTGCCAACATAACTGTAAGCAATGACTAAATGAAGCTTATCTAATATATATATACATATACATATATGTATATATACATATTTCTTTTTTCTCCATAAATACAACCTTCTTCTACCTAGTACATTAGATAGCATTTCAGCATTATGCTTGGGAGTCATTTTAAACAGTTACTCACCAATAACAAAAAAAAAAAAAACCACAAAGATACTAAAGGGACATTTATTTATGATATGAGTTGGAACAAAAGACAGACCCTTGTGTAACCTCTGCTGCAACCACATGAGTCAGATTTCCCATCACTCTAGATGTGTCTGCAAATGACCATGAAAGTGCCAAGAGTATTCACTTGAGGATTATAGGAAAATTAATAGTGAAGATCAACTATACATGTGTACTTACAGAAAACTCAGTGTCTTCCTATTTTTACAAGCAAGTATAGTAAAGGCTTTCTGACTCAAAATCCAATATAATACAATAAAATGTTGGTATAATTGACTATTTGAGAATTTTTTATATATGCATTGCAAAAATAAAGTTTGGCAAAAAATGCAAAATAGGTCATAGGCAAGGAGTAATATCCTTAAAATATTTTTAATTAAGGGAAAGTAAATCAAAAACCCAAATTAAGATGTACAAATAATTTAATAATAGTTTTTTTTTGTTGTTCTTTTGACTAGTACCAGGACCTCCTCCTTGCTCAGCTACTACCATTTTGAGATACCTCTCTAGCCAAAAGTTAACAATTTATACAAGAGTATATAAAAATGATAATAATGACTTGTAGCTTAATAAGTGCTTTAAAGGTAAGTTCAGCTGGGCACCAGTGGCTTGTACCTATAATCCTAGCTACTCAGGAGGCTGAGCTCAGAGGATCACAATTCAAAGCCAGCCAGGGCAGGAAAGTCCATGAGACTCTTATCTCCAGTTAGTCACAGAAAAAAAAAAAACAGAAGAAGGAGCAAAAGGAGCCAGCACTCAGGCCCAAAGTTCAAGCCCCAAGACCAGCAAAAAAAAAAAGAAAGAAAGAAAGAAAGAAAAGAAAAAGAAAAAGAACGAGTTTATAAGTTTTATAAGTTCACTTATAAAAATAAGTAGATAAACAAATGGAGGAAAAAGGGAAATCTTTTCCACATCCTAGAAGGAAGAATTACATTTCTGTAGTTCCGCTTTTTTGATAAGCCAGAGGTCAGCACTTCCATTTCAGAACCCAGTAAAGGTGTCTCTTCTTGGATAAACTATAGACACTTTAAATCCACTATATATAAAACTGAACTTCAAAAGGTGTAATTGTCTGGGCACCAGTAGCTCACCACTGCAATCCTAGCTATTCAGGAAGCTGAGATCTGAGGACAGAGGTTTGAATCCAGGTTAAGTTGGTAATACTCTTATCTCCAATTAATCAAAGAAAAACCAGAAGTGGTGCTGTGGCTCAAGTTGTAGAGTGCAAGCCTTGAACAAAAGGTGCTTAGGGACAGCACACAGGCCCAGAGTTCAAGGGCCAGGACTAAAAAGAAAAAAAAGTTTTTAAAGGCATAATTGGCTCATTTCGGCCAAAGATGAAAAAATGGGTCTGAAAAGATTAAAAAGGGGGAGGGTGAGAGGGTAGGGAGTCACAACTGAAACACATCTCATTGGAAGCTACGGAAGAAATTATGGCACTAATTAGCCTGAAAATTGGCTATTTAAAGGAAAGAATTGTGCAGTTATCTCATCTATAATATTAAGTATACTTCAAGGATTATGTAGTAAGCCTTTCAATATGATTCCAGCAAATATTTAGAAAGAATAAATCATTAGTTTTAACCCTTAGAAACATTAGTCAATAATAATCAATGGATGAGTATTGAATAAAGGTTAAATGAGTGTTCTATTATTTCCTTAAGTATGTATAATGCCCCTTTACCTAAATATGGACTTATAATTGTAGACTTTACCTCAATTTGAATTGCCCTTGGTTAAATGCAAGATACACTCTTATGACAGGAAAAACACAAGATGTATGTTCTTTTCAGAATGCCTTATCAGAAGGTACATGGTGCCTATTTGTCCTATTACTAGTATTAAGTTTAATTACTTTGTTTAGGGAGCACCTGTCTAACTTTTCCACAATAAATTTACTGCTTTCCCCTTTGGAATCAATAGCTACTCGGTGTGGAGCACTGTTACTATGTAAATATCTTTCAATACTTCTTAAATTTCCACTCTATTTTAACATGTGTTGGTGCTCAATGAGATTTGAGAGTTCCATTCAGAACTCTATAATTTTCTGCATGTTACTCAGTCTCTCTTCCTCAATCTTACCATGTCTAAAATGAGAATCAGAGATGAATTTTCATGGTACCTAGCACATTGTAAAAACTCTAAAGATAGCAAGTTGTACTTTCTCTAAAATTACTGTTTTTAGAGCTAAGATCTTACTGAATGAATAAAGAGCTTTGGCAATTCTCACTGTAAAGCACAGCACAGATTCAGTTCTTTACCAATTAGTTATTGAATAGTAGTCTATTTGTGATTGAATCATCCAATTGAATCTGCCATTAGAAGTTTAGACAAATATGATTTTTAAAAGATTTTTTTGTCGGTCATGGAGCATGAACTCAGGGCCTAGGCACTGTCCCTAAGCTTTTTCACTCAAGACCAGAACTCTAATACTTTGAGCCACAGTGCCACTTGCTAAATGATTTCTTTTATTAGAATATGGCACCTAACTCTAATATAGTTCTGATGTTGCTTGTGATTTAATTTATCCATGCTATTTTTAGGATAGATACATAAATACAGAGACTGAAAGAAAATGAAACTCTTTTCTCCAATCATGTAACTAAAATACATTATCTGGTCTTCAAGACCACAACCTGCAGGAGTCACTCCCCAGATTTCAATGGTTCAAGAATAAATGTACACAAAACTCTATCTAGCTAAAAAAGGAACTCTAGCTAGCTGGGGAGAGAGTCTAAAGAAATAATCCTGAAGGAGGTAAAATGCAACACTCAAAGCCAGACTCATATTTCCTGACATCT